CTTCGAAACAAAAAAAAAAAAAAAAAAAGAAAGAAATTCTGCAGGCTTCTTCCTAGACCTGTTGAGCATAAAAATGTGTAACCAAACAGTCCAAGACTATGATTTAGCAAATAAAACAACCATGAGGCTACTAGCAGAGCTCCAGCAAAGGACACCCAGACTGTGAAAATGTGCAGCAGCAAAGTAGCCTCTGTTTTCAGGAACCTCCAGCCACAACTAAATGCATCCTCTGAATTGTCTGGCTTTTGTTATTTTAAACCAAGCCCTCCACATTACTTTAATGTGGGGGTTACTTGAAAACATAATTACTAGGAATAACCACGGTAATATGCAATTGTCAAAAACTAAACAATCTTATTTTTCCTCCACTCCCATTAGTCAGAACATCAGCTCCATAATGTATGTTGTATATACAGACCTTTGAAAGGGAAAAAAATCTTTGGGAGTGTACCAAGATCCCCACATATGCTCTGGCTGCTGAAAAAGACCTATTGAAAAGCAGCAGCAAAAGCAGCTCCCCCCCCCCAGAACAATGGAACTGAATTTGCTATTGTTGAATCTTGCATGCTTACTCCAAGCCATTAAGACCACAAGTCAAGGCCTCCCCTTCTCCCCCACCAGCCCCCATGCACAGAGAGTTTTGGGCGTTGTTTTTATAAAACTCTAGTTTTAATCTTTTGAACTTGTATTCAATTGAAAATAGCCTGAAACTTAAAAAGTATCACCTGATCTACCACAGGAGTCAGGTAATTAAGCGAATGGACTACAGTCTAACAGATGATGGTCAAAATAAACCAACAAAATGAAGAAGGGACTGAGTACCCCACCATGATTAACAAACCAAGAGGGCCATTAGTTAATAGATCCATCAAAATGAATGCCATGTCACCTACCAGTTAACAGAAAAACCAACCAAGAAGAACTGTATTTTACAGAAAGCAACCCTATGAAATCAGATCATGCCAAACTCGATCTCATCTGAAGAGTGAAAGTAAAACACCTAACTCATCCACATAGAGAAGCTCTTCACTGACCCACACACACACTGTGAGACCTGCCAACGTGACCATCACACAGGTCACCATGTGGGACCGGAAGTGGTCCATGGAGCTGTACTTACGCAGATTGTTTATGGGGGCTCTCGTGTCCATGTTCTCATAGTGCTGGACGTGAACGACAATGTTAAGGTCTCTCTCCATGTGATCGGTGTTGCAGTGGCCCTGTGGCCTCATGACATCTGCAAGTGCCCTGAAAGGAGAAAGAATCGCAATCTGTCAAATCCAAACACAACGTCACATACCTGCCATGGGCCAAACACTGCCCTTGTACACAACAGACAAACTCATTTCCCCCATGGAGGCACAGTGGTTCCAGGAGGAAGTGGGACAGAGGAAAACATATAGGCAATAAAGTCACTTTGATCGGAGGTTACACAATGACTTCACACAGACTCGTTCACAGGCTTTTCACAGGAGCTGTATAACAACAGTATCATCTTCCCCATGAACCGGGGAGAGGGGTAACGATCAGTACTTGTACATCTCCTCTCCATCGTTTCTCCTTTGTATCTAAAGCAAATGCCAACACTTCATGTACAGCAGTGGCCCGATATCAGGAACAACAGCTAACATTTAGTGAATACGTTACCATGACCTAGTCACTATGCTAATCATATTATGTGTCTTAACAAAGCACCTTATAAAATTCTTACTACAGATGCGCAAACTCCGAGGGGTGAGTTAACCTGCTCAAAGTCTCGCCGCTAGTAAACTGTGGTGCAAGGATTTGAACTGGTCTGTTCTGTTTTGTTTGGAGAAGAGGGGAACAAAATTCAGACCGTAACAATGACCTTCACAATTAGATGTGCACTTATAAGCTCAGTGTGTGCACACAGAATAGAGAAAAGACAACTGTCAAACAGATAACGCACCCTAAGATCAGGCCTACCGACATTTTTCCACTTTAGCCTTTACCATGTGTTTAAATATATTAATGTCCTTAAAAGATGTATGCTATAGTAGGTATTGTTTATCTCGTGCATGTTTTACATAAATGGTGTTTTTACCCATATACCTCAGTGTTTCTCCCTTTCCTTATGCAACAGGAGACTCAGCTATGTTGCTGAATGTGTTTCATCCCTCAAAACCACTGGATAGTATCCCCTTGTATGCAGTTCCCAAATTTCACTCACCTGCAGGGACGCGTCTCCACACGCAACAACTAGTAAGGTGGAGGGATCAACCAATCAGAACAGACGCCAGCTACAAACATCCAGCTGCTTCGTTACAATCCCGTAGACCATCAGCTCCGCTTATCAACTCCCTGACTATGGACATCTAGAAAGTCAACAGCTCCCTGAACCCTGTGAACCACACTGCAATCAAGAGGCCTCCTCTTCGATCAGGGGGCATCTTCTGCAGTCTCCACACCCACAAGCGATACTGCCATATTCTAGGATATACCTAGGTATCCCCAGTTAACCAGCACCTTCTGAATCCACATACAGGAAGACAGAGAAGGAAGATGAACTGCTGGGGAGAGACCCACACAGACCACCTATGAGCCCAGCAGCCTCAGCCTCTCTGCAGAAACCCTCCCCACCACAGCAGTGAATCTAACATTATGAACTGCCAACGGGCGGCATCGGCAGCCAGGGAACTTGATGCAAATTTCTGCATCCGTGGAGACCCTCTGAGTCAGAACCTTCAGGGCCAGCACTCATCAAGGGTGTTTTCACAGGCCCTTCAAGTGTGTCTGCTGGGCATCCAAGTTTGAGACTATGCTAGGACAGTAGAGGTCCTGAGCTTCAGGGAACAAAAGCTCAGGACCTCTGAGCTAGGGGTCCTGAGCTCCAGGGTCATGGTGCAAAAAATTTGCACGGCAAGGACCACAGCTGGTGAGAAGTCTCAGGGGTGAAGGAGACCTAGGTCAGCCCGGCAAGGGTGCCATAGGAATTGGAGGAAAAGATAGAGTCCATTAAGAGATGAGAATAACAACAGAGCTCAATCATTCGTTAAATTCCACAAGTATTTATTGTCTACTATGTGCCGTGCATGATACAAAGCCCTGGGGATACAGCAGTGCACAAGATGAACGAGGTCGCTGCCTTCCTGGAGCTTATATTCTATGGGAGAGAATAAAAAATAAACATGTTAAATAAATAAACAAGGGCTGCAAATAAACAAGCAAACAAAGAGTAACGCAGTCAAGAAAGCCTGACACATAAGCAGCATTTTTCATAACAGCAAAAAGTAGAAACAATCCAAATCTCCACCAACACGAATGACCACAAAAGGAATAATACGAAACGGGATATTATTCGGTAATGACAATGAACGAACCCTTGACACCAGCTACAACACGAAACTTGAACACACTGCCCCGTGAAAGCAGCCAGACACAAAAAACTGCATGACGAAGCACGATAAAAATATACCGTGAATGTTCAAATTTTGTAAAAAAAAAGTACAGTAAATGACATATTGCCATTATTTCCCCTCGAAATGCTCTCCCTCATTTGGATCACACTTATCCCACTATTCCTGCCACGTCCTGAAGCAGCTCTAGAAGTTTGCTTGCAGGAGGGTCTTTACTGGGTGTGATCTAAAACACGAAGGACCATCCACCAGAAAGGCAGGCTCGTGAAAATATCACGACGGTTTAATCCACTGTATTCACTGGATCCAGGACCAGACAACTTCTGGCCAAAGTCAAAACGACCATGAGAGCTGCATGTTTTGAACTGAATCAGCAAACTGAAGCAGCCCCAAGAGCTCAACTGAAGACACACACACACAAAAAAAAAAAAGGAATTCTAGAACTATTTCAGAAAATGGCAGGATCGATGCAAGGGGAGCATCATGAGGGAGATGAACAGCAGTGTGTCCATTACTGTAATAAGCTTCTTAAACATTATATTTTCATCCTCCCTCATAGGATATGATCCTATGTATAGCAAATATCTAGATACAGTTCTATAAAGACAGAAAATACAGTGGTGGGTGCCAGAGGCTGGGGGTGGGACACAGGGAAGGGGAAGTGAGTGCTAATAGAGAGGAGGAGGTTCTTTTCGAGGATGATGAAACATTATTAAAAATTAGATAGTGGACTGGAGCTAAAGAGTGCTGATGAGTGCACAATGTTGTGAATTTAATAAAAATCACTGAATCATACTTTTTTTAAAAAATTCTAAATAGAGACGCTGTGGTCAGAAAAAGATTTCCGGAAGAGATAACATCTGAGGGACAAGGGAGAAGGAATGGGTGCTGGGATGCTGCAGCTTGGATCTGGGGTGTCCGCGAAAGGCCCATGTGTTAAAGGCCTTGACCCCAGGGTGGCGTGTTCGGGAGGTGGTGGAACCTTTTGCAGATGCAGGACAGAGGGAGCTATTTAGGTCACTGAGGCATATGGCCTTTGAGGGGATTAAGGAGCCCTGGTCTCTCCCCC